TGCGGGCGGTTACCCAGGCAGGAAGCCCCGCGGGCGCAGCGACAGAGGGCGGGAGGGAGTCGCTGGCCCCTCCGCCCTGGCCCCGTCCCCCGGGCTTTCGGGAAACCCCAGGGCTGGGGTCCAAAATCCTCGGATTCCAGTACGGAGCCCGAGCCCGTGCCAGGGCTGGCTCCGAGGGGCTCGCGCTCTCCAGCAGCTCCGCTGCGGCAAGTGCGTCGTGGCCTGGACTCTGACGCCCGGCATCTGGGTTCTCCCGGGGCAGAGGGGCAGGAGGACGCTGCCCGTTCTGCGTGTGGGCCCCCGCCCAGCTCTCCGGAGAACAGTGGCTCTCCTGCCCCGCGCCATTGCTCTGAGACGGCTGCCAAACAAGACAAAACCCCGGGGACTGCCTCTCCTTCCTGGCCAGGCTCGCGGGATTTCCGCCAAGGGCTGCCTGGACAGGTTAGAGTCACCACTGAACACCCCGGACCTGCCTGGCCTGGCCAGCCAGGGGCACCAGCCTGTCCCAGAGAACAGGGAAGGGCCCCAGGAGAAACGCCATCCCCTGTGAGCCAAGAAGACGCGTCTTGGGCTCCAGCCGAGGGCTCCGGCTGCAGGACAGCGGGGCCTCCTGGCTGGAGACAGGGACTCCCAGGCAGCCCACCCTCAGCCAGGAGGGCTGAGCACCAAGGACACTCTTGGGACCTGCGTCGAGGACTGTTCTTGCTGCCTGGCATCCTTACTAACAGGACATGCATTTAACCCAGGCAGACATGCACCCAGATGGAAGTCTGTGTCCTCGCCTTCCCAAACAGCAGGGTGTGAGATTCCTGGAGGCTATTCTGGGACTGACACAGCTGAGCAAAACGGACCGTTTTGCCCATCCCCGGCTTTATTCTCTGCTTCTGGAAATGTGGGTGTGAGCGCTGGAACTCCAGCAGCCAGAAGGGACCATGAGCCTCACACTAAGATGGCAGGCAGAGCCAGCAGCAGGTTCTGGGGAAGTGGTGAAGGTCAGAGAGCAAACCCTGTGTCCCCAGGACTGTCACAGGGGTGCTCTGTGGTCTGCTTTGACCTTCAGTCCAGCCACTCCCTTCTCCAACTACCGCTCATCACTGGGTCGTGGACGCTGTGACAGCACACTGAACAGACCCCCGACTCCCGGGTCACTCTGTTATGTGAATGACGGCCTGCCACGTAAGCTTCCCCTTTACAGGAACTCGGTCCCCGTCCCCACAGAGTCCAGGGCTTAGGCACGGGAGGGGCGCTCCCCTTCAGTGCTGGGAGGTGGGCAGCACCTTGGAGCCTCGTCCCCAAGCCCCTGGCCCAGGCGTCCCTCTCGACTGCGTCCTGTGAGGAGAGCCCACAGCCAGTGGCCCCAAGGACACACCCGCTCCCCATCTGCCGAAGGAGGGAACCGAACTTTCCGACTTCGTCAGGGTTCAGTAAATCCCGGCATGAATAGTGTCTCGTTCTTCGCCTTTAAAGTCTTTGACTCCACAACTTCACTCCTGGGAACCGCCCCTGGCGCAGGCTCGATGACCTGAGTTGTCTTCGTTTAAAACAGCTTCGCTGAGAGTAACCGACACACAACACCCGCACAGGTGCATCGCAGTTGGGTGGCTCCGAACACACGTGTACACCTGTGCGGCCCCACGCTCCAGGGAACGGGCCGGTCCCATGTCACGGGCCAGCCGGGCCGGCTGCGATGAGGGGAGGGGGCTGGTCACCACCCGCTCGCGAGCAGGCAGCCGTGTCTCAGAAGCTCCCCGTGCTCTGGTACTCACAGGTGCGCGTCCATCCCTCTCCCAGAGCCACTCCCCCGAGTCCCTGCAATACCCACCCTGCTTCTCACCTGCCCGCACTCCAGGCCCCGACTCAGCCCGCGGCCAGGTGGCTCTCCTCAGAGCTCTGCCGGCCCGCTGCAGGCCCGCTCACAGACGGGAGGCGCAGAGAGGTGCGGGGTGGTCTGGCGTCACGTGGCACTGAGCCGGGCCACACGGCACGCCCTCAGCGGGCATCCGCCGGCCCGCAGCAGGCTGTGCCGCGTCCGACCACACAGCAGGCTCCTCGCACCAGCAGAACCAGCGAGAGGGGCCAGGGCCTGGACAGGGGCAGGTGGGCAGGTAGTGTGCAGGCCTCCGAGGGGATGGGCCAGGGCCATGCGGTGACCCTGGGGCCCACCAGGCTTCCCTCTAGACAGCCCTGCAGCTGGCACTGGGAGCCCCTGGCAGAGGACAGGGTGGGCCGGAGTGGCCACTCACTCCACGGAGACCCAGCCCGAAGACACCCACCAGCAGCGGACTGCCCAGGGCAGAAGGCACCCAGTCACGATGCCATGGTGGTCACGGACACGGAGGCTCGGGAATCAGTCTGCAGAGGTGAGACCCAGACAGGGCGGCTCAGAAGGCAGGCCTGGAGGTGCGGAGGAGGGTGGCAAAGGGAGGCGGGCATCAGACACCAGATGAAAGGAGCTCCGGGGACAGACCAGAGGAGAGGACAGAGCCAAGGACTGCGCGAACGCCATCCTCAAATGGAAGCGCACGACTCCCCCGGGGAAACGCTCCCTGTCCCCAGATGACACGCACCGCGAAGCTTTATTAATAGAACAGCAGGGATTACGAGAGGCCCTGACGCATGCAGGGAAAGCGCTCCACCCTGAGCTGCACAGCAGGAGCACAGGCGGAGAGCGGGCCCTCGCCCCAGGCAGCAGACAGGCCGGTGGGTGCTCGAATCCTGGGCGAGGCGCTTTCCTAAAATTCTGGATCCAGCCCAACTATCAGCCCAGCCTGGGGGCTGCGCACAGTCCGGCCCCACGGCGTCCTTGTCCTGTGACAGGGTGCGAGCCAGGGCGTGGCCAGAGCCCGGGAATGGGGAGGCACAGGAAAAGCCACCTGCAGACACTCAGGAGACGTGGCCGGGACATGCCACGTTGGCAGAGATGTGACAGTGGTCCGGCGAGACCTCGGGGAGGAGCCCGCAGGAGGCGAGGCGCCACCTGCTGCAGAAGGACTGGGCTCTGGGGCCTGGTCACCTACAGGCAGATGGGGCTTTCAGACTCCGATACCTGACGACACTTTAAAGACATCCTGTTACCAAGACCAGTCAGTCCGGGGACCCGCCACACCTGTAGCGCCAGGCCAGCGTGGACATCCAGGTCCTTAGAGGGGCTGCCCTGCCACGCCCTAGTGCAGCCCTGTAGGGCCAGACCACAGGGATGCCGGGCCTTGGCTCCCGGGTTGCCCCACATGCCAGGCACTCGGGGTGTCTGTGATCCCAGCTAGTGGGGACAGGCTGAGGGTGGTGGTCATAGAGACCCCACAAAGGTGCTTCTCTCCCTGGTGGAGTAAACGAACTTCCTTTCCTTCGTGGCTAACTGTCACACGGTCTCATCACAGGCGGAGTGCAGAAACGCGCCAAGGAGATGGTGAGGTCAGCCCGGCGAGGGCCGGCAGGGCTGCAGCCATCTTGAACGCCAGGCAGGCTTCTAGGAGAACCACTGGCCGCGGGCCGAGTCGGGGCCTGGAGGGTGGGCAGGTGAGAACCAGGGTGGGTATTTGAGGGACTCGGGGTAGTGGCTCAGGGACAGGGACGGACTCGTAGGGGCCGGCCGCCTGTCTCCCTGTGCAGGGGA